ACGCCATTGCCGCCACCGCCTTCTCTTGCATCGCTTGTGTGGCTTATGCCACCGAAGTGGCCTGGACCCGGGCCCGCCCCGGGGAGATCACCGGCTACATGGCCACCGTGCCCGGCCTGCTCAAGGTGCTGGAGACCTTTGTGGCCTGCATCATCTTCGCCTTCATCAGCAACCCCTCCCTGTACCAGCACCAGCCGGCCCTGGAGTGGTGTGTGGCCGTGTACTCCATCTGCTTCATCCTGGCGGCCGTGGCCATCCTGCTGAACCTGGGCGACTGCACCAACATGCTGCCCATCTCCTTCCCCAGTTTCCTGTCAGGCCTGGCCCTGCTCTCTGTCCTTCTGTACGCCACCGCTATTGTTCTCTGGCCGCTCTACCAGTTCAGCGAGAAGCACGGTGGCCAGCCCCGTCGGTCATGGGATGTGGGCTGCAGCAGCCGGCACACCTACTACGTGTGCAATTGGGACCGCCGACTGGCCGTGGCCATCTTGACGGCCATCAACCTGCTGGCTTACTTGGCCGACCTGGTGTACTCAGCCCGCCTGGTTTTCGTTAGGGTCTGAGGCTCCGACGACAGTGACGACGGGAGCTCTCAATTCCCTCTTGCCCGCAGAGGTTTCTTTCCCAAGTCCTACTTGCCTCTTCTGGCTCCCTCTCGCCGACCTTTCTCATTTCCTTCCCGATTCATCCCGCTCGTCTCTGTTCCCTTAGCTCCTGCCACCTCTCTCCTGTAGCTCTCGCCTTTCCTTCCTGCTTCTTGGGTTGCCCACATCCTGGTTTGCCTGCTTGCCTCTTTCTGTTTTCAGCTCTTCTTTCCTACCTATTTGTTTCTCAGCTCCATTCTGGTCCTCTTGTTTGTTTTCTCATCTGCCTGTATTGTGGCCACTGCTGTCCCAGTTTCTTTCTTCCGATTTCCTTGGGAGCTCTGAGACTTCCTTCTTCTCGGCCACCACTCCACTGCCCCCCCACCTCCAAAGGTGCTGAGCTCCCCATCCCACCCCGCTCTTTGCAGCTGTTCGTGCCCTGGGCCTCCCGAGGGGCCTCGTTGCCAAAGCATGCCTGCCCGCCCTGGCTGTGCCTTAGTTGGTGTGTACATGTGTGTTTGTGGGGGTGGGGGTGGGTGCCTAGGGATGGGGCTCCCTTTCTCCCAGTGGAGGGGGGTGTACAGTACATGTCCCCTTTAATCTCTGGAGGCCAGTGATCTCCAGTGGGCATGAGGCTTAAAGCACAGGCCCTGGGTCCCTGGGCTCTGCCTGGCCCCCAGCCTCACCTGATACTGGCTCCAGAACTTCTGCCAGGCTTACTAACCAGAATTTTTGCCATGCTTACTAAAATTCCACTGCCTGGAGGTCATCTTAAAGGAAGTAAAGGGTGAATGCTTTCCATCCCAAGGGCTGTCTGGGTTATTGAAAAAGGAGCTAGCGAAGAACTGCACGGTCTTAAGGACAACTGTCTGAAGTATTTATAGGGGACAGGGATGTGGCCCTCACGCCTCAGTGTTAAAAACAGCATGGACTGCCTTTGCTGGGAGAAGAGGTTGGCCATTGCCGGCCTTAAACACAATGTGAGCCTGGGTTTGTTTGGTTGTTTTTGTTTTTGTTTTTTCCTTTTCCTGGCCACGAGGGCAAAATGTACTGGGTGGCCCTCTTCTAAAAGGGAAGTTTCTTTTCAACATCTTTTTCTTAGGGGTGGTTGGGTTGGGTAGGTGGGGATTGCTGTTGCCATAGTCAGAGGAATTGAATTGCATTGCTTGAGTGTGGTACACACACACACAAACACACACACACGTGTGTTTCTGCATGCTAGTTGCTTTCTGTAGCTGCTTCCTGCTTCTCTGGGACTCACACGCGTAACGTCATATATATAAATGTATAAATATATATTTTATTTTTTTTTAATTCCCTGGAGCTTCTGATTCCCATCAGTCCCCGCTCCCGCTGTCAACCACAGAGGGAAGACTTGTCCGTTTCCTCACTCCCACATCCATGATGTTCTTTTTTTTTTTTTTTTTTTACATCAATATAAAGGTAAAAGAAAAACTGTGCTTGCTTTATTGCTGAGGAGGAGGGCTCCAGGAGAGGGGGCAAGGTCCAGATTCTTGGGTCTGGTGGAAGAGGGGGCCTGGGGCCAAGACAACTTTGGCCTTTGGATCTCCCAAATTTACTCTCTCAAGCCAGGATAACTAGTTAGGATTGAAATGGATAACATTTGTCCCTCCTTGGAATCCAATGAGCATTTCAGAAATATAGTGTCCCCATCTGAGTGCAACATTTCTTCCCGAAATCAACTCCTCGGGTTCCCCATCTCAGTAATAGGCTCCTGAGCCTGCGAACCCAGGCTCTGGTTCTTCCCATTGGCTCTGTCAGTCGCTCACCAGACACTGTCTGTCCAGGCTCCTGACCCGGCTCCTGACCCAGCTCAGGTATCATTTTGTTTGTCTTGAGTTAGTACCCCAGCCTCCTCCTTGACTAGCCCACCTCTTGCCCACCCTGGCCGCAGGGGGATGCTTCTAACCCCTGACACTGCCCTCCCCTGCTCAAGTCCATATCTGCCTGCAGGTGATCCTAAAGCTCCTCCGTCTGGGCCTTCAGGATCTGACGCTGCCGACATTCCCACCCTCAGCTCCATCTTACCCTCAGTTCCAAGCTCCCTGACACAACCTGTCCATAGAAGACCTTGATAAAGAGCAAACGAATTACTCCTACCATGAATCTATGTCCCAGAGAAGGTCCTGTTGCCTGAGGAGAATCACAAATACATAAACCCGCAAAAATCCCAGGATCATGCAACCCATTTTCTGCACTTAACACCAGCAAAAGCAATGGCAAGCGATATGTCGAGGGAGGGAGGAAGGGAGGGAGGAAGGGAGGGAGGACCCCCCCCCCGGAAGAGAAGGAAGGGCTAACGGGAATAGATACATTCCTTTTCCAGGAGAAGCCTCCTTTTGATATCTGCAGTGCCCACCCCGGAATTCCGACCCACACCAATGCCTGCCTCCTCCAAGGGCGTCTCGCCCCCCACCCCCGCTTGAACCCCTCTGGAAGGGACCAGGGAGAACAGCTCCAGTATTCGGGGGTGATGTGTTGGTGACGCGGCAAAAGCAGCCAAGCAAAGCAAGGCGGGATTCCCTAGGTCAGTTTCCAGGGCCACCCCGACCCCATATCCTTGCCCTTGGGCAGGCCGGACGCCTGGAGGTGGCTGGTAGGCAAGGGCACCCCACTTCTGAGGGGTTTGAAGAAGAGTCGGATTTCCCTCACCTCCCCTTCGGCTTCAAGAAGCCGACCCCGGACCCCCCAAATTTCCGAAGAAGGTGCGGTGGGCCGGGTCCCCAGGCGCCGCCGCGCCCCGCCTCCGTCTCGCGGGGCACGCCGGGAGAGGAAGTTCTCGGCCGCGTCGCCACAACAGGTAGTCCTCAGGCTCAGACTCCAAATCCCAGGATGCACCGCACTCCGCAGCGCGGGGCGGGCCGTGGTTGCCCTTGGCAACAGAGAGGGTCTCAGGGAGCCGGGAACCCGACGCGCTCGGGAGTTGGGGGAGGGCCGGGGCGCTCCTGGAGAGGGCTGGGGACGCGGGCGGAGCGACAGAGCGGAGGCCGGAGCCCGGCAGGGCCGACGTTCGGAGGCACGGGGATGCACAGGGTTTTCCAGGGCCAGAGAGGGACGTGGAGGGACGGGGAGACCCCCAGGCACGGAGAGAGAGGTTCCTAGCCAGAAGGGTGAGAAAGGGATAAAGATGGGGGTCGGGTGGGGGTGAGAGACACATGAGCTCAAACATTCAGAGAGACCCCCAGCGACCGAGGGAGACGCTGGCAGAGCCAGGGAGTGGGTCAGAGAGAGGGCCGGGCACAGAGGAGGAGGAAGAGGCGAGCACAGGGAGGTTCGTAGACAGAGGCACGGGGAGAAGGAGGGCTGAGGGGTGCGGGAGACAGAGGCTGACCCTCAAAGAGAAAGACACGGAGGCCCGGAGTCACAGCCCGATGGAGAGCGACCGAGAGCGAGCCACAGAGACAAATAGAGGCAAGAAGAGGGAGAGAGTCAGGGAGACAGAAACAGGAATGTATGGGACCTCCGGCAAGAGGCCAAGGAACACTGATGAGACGGACACCACAGAAAGAGGGACACCAAGACCCAGAGAGGGTCACAGCTTGGCCACAGGCATAGACGGAGACACAGCAAAAAAAACCCCAGAGAAATAGAGGCAAGGACAGGGACAGAGACACAGAGACAGGGAGCCAGGAACACTGGGCAGGGACAGAGACAGGGAGCCAGGAACACTGGGCAGGGACAGAGACTGAGAGCAAGAGACAATCCCAGAGGGAGACACAGACATACACGTTCACCCAGGCCCAGAGAGAAATCAAGACTTGAAGAGCAGCAGAGAGAGACAGCGGGCCTCCCCGTTCACCACCGGGTCCCCAGCACTGAATACAAAGTTTGTGTAATGAAGCAGAGTGACACAGTCAGAAACCCAGGGATCCGAGTGGAGTCTCAGCGGGCTCACGGGACCCACCGAGGCACCTAGTGGGGAGGAAGCCCGGGTCCGGGTGACAGAAGGAGGTGGGGGCAGGGCACCGCTCAGAGGATGCCCCCTCCCTCCAGCCAGCCCCCGGAGTGGGTGTGCGCACGTGTGTGTGTGTGTGTGTGTGTGTGTGTGTGTGGGGAGGGCATTTGTCCCCAGTCTCAGGGAGGGGGGACGCCTTTAAACTGAAACCCCGCCCCTCGGTCGTCATGGCAACGCCTCCCCCCAGCCGGGGCTCCCACATTTCAGCAGGTGCCTGAGCTGGAGCTCCCGCCGCCGCCGCCGCCGCCCTTGCCTCCGGCTCCTCGGCGCCCCTGCCCTCGGCTCTCCGCCCTGCCCGCCCGCTCCCCCTGGCGGAGCCGGCGCGCCCCGGGGTGCCGCTCCTTGCCCTGCGCTCCGCGCCTGGAGGTGCCTCGCCCCTCTCCTTCCCTCCTCGCAATCTCCCCGTGGCTCAGTGCTCTCCCGAGTCTCCGGCTCCTCGCCCTTCCACCTGTTTCCCCAGAAAGGCAGGATCCTGGTCCCTGCTACGTTCCTGGGGCCATGGCAGGCCTGGGCCCCGGCGGAGGCGATTCAGAGGGGGGACCCCGGCCCCTGTTTTGCAGAAAGGGGGCTCTGAGGCAGAAGGTGGTCCACGAAGTCAAGAGCCACAAGTTCACCGCCCGCTTCTTCAAGCAGCCAACCTTCTGCAGCCACTGCACCGACTTCATCTGGTGAGGGAAGGGGCTGCGGGCTTGAGGAGGGAGGGAACGAGGGATGGAGACTCCCGTCACCCCAGACCCTGAGGGTTGGGGAAGGAGAGGGCTGCAGCCCTGGCTCCTGGTCCTAGGGTAGGAAGGGGCTGGGGACCCGGATCCCTGAGTCTGAGGGAGCAGGGCCTCGGGTCCCGGATTCCTGGGTCTGAGAGGAGGCGCTGGGGGCCTGGACTCCTGGGTCTGAGGGAGGAGGGGCTGGAGGCCTGGGCTCCTGGGTCTGAGAGAAGAAGGGCTGAGGACTAGAATGTTTGGGTTCTAGAACAAGAGGCAGCTGGGGTCCTGCTCATGGGGGGAGCAAGGTGCAGTAAAGGCTGGAAGAGGTGGGAGACCGGGTACCCTTTTCTGCACTGACCTCTGATCCTTGATCTTGCAGGGGGATTGGAAAACAGGGCCTGCAATGTCAAGGTAAGAGCTGGGGACCCAGACTCCTGGGACCCTCAGGAGGGTGGAGGCTGGGGCCCCACAGCCCAGGAGGCTTGACACACGTGTTCTTCGGTCCCCAGAGAGGCGCGGGGGAGCCCGGGGCGGGGGGTGTGGCAGAGACACAGCCTGTGGTGGGGAGGGAGCTCTGATGGCGGGGCCACCGCGGAGGTGGTGCTGGGGGCCCCTCCCTCGGCCAGCTCCAGGTGGGGACAGATATTTGGAGAATCTGTTGCCATGGGAACAGAGAGATTTGGAAAAGGGGAGCTGAAAGGGAGGGGCTGGAGATGCGAAGTCAGAGCCCCCCCCTCAAGCTGCTGTCGCCATGACAACACCAACAGTCCTAGGCAGGGGCAGGCCGGGTGGGGTCACCAGGGGGGGGGGGGGGGCGGGGGGGGGCTGGCAGTAATGGGGGGCGGGAGAGGGGGGCGAGTCCTAAAGCACCAGCTGCTACTGCTGAGAACAGAGTGAGTCAGGGAGGGGGAGGCCTGCAGCAGCCCCCAGACTCACTTCTGCCCAAGTCACTGCTCTCTCTCTTCTGTCGGAGGGCATTTCTCTGTTTGCTCTCCTCCTCAGCCTGCCTCTTTCCTTTCTTTCTTGCCTCGGTGGGCTTGTGTCTGTCGATGGGATCCTGTTTTCTCTCTGCGTCCCTGTGTCTCTGTCTTTCTCTGTCTGTCTCTGTGTCTCCCTTTGGCTGTGTGTAGGCACGGGGGTCTCTCTGCTCTCTGATGCTCTGTGTCTCTGTTTCTGTCTGTCTTTGGGTTTATCTCCCGAATTTCTGTCTCCTGGTTTCCCTCCCCCACTCCATGTTGGGGGGTCTCTCCTTTGATTGTCTATTAAACTCTCTTGATTTTGGGGTCCCCCTCCCTCTGGTTTTCTTTCTGTAGGGGTCTCTCTCTTTCTGATTTTCTATCCACTGGGCTCTCTCTCTGTCTCTATGTCTCTATGATTCTCACCTTCAGTCTGCAGCTTTGTGGTTCATCGACGATGCCACGAATTTGTGACCTTCGAGTGTCCAGGCGCCGGGAAGGGCCCCCAGACGGATGTGAGTGCCCGGACACCTGATTCCTTCTCTTTGGGCCGCGCCCCCGCCCTCACCCCCTCGGCGTCCGTCCCAATTTCTCCTGCTATTTTTAAGGCTGGGAGGGGAGGGGGGCTGGAGAGATAGGGGGAGCTAGTCTGGCCCAGATTCCCTGCCCTTGGCCTGGAAAGGGGAAATGAGAGGGGGCTGAGACAGGCTGGGGACACAGGTGGGGGACCAAAGAGAGCATTGGAGGGGGTGGGCTGTCATCCAGGGGTCAAGAGATTTAAAAAAAAAAAAACGGAGTTGAGGGACAGAGAGAGAAACAACTATTGATGCAGGCACTGTGATAAGACAGAGAATCTCAGAAATGCAGAAAAAGATAGAGACCCAGACAGAGAAAGAGAGAGGAATGGAACAGAGACAGCAACCCAGGAGGGAGGAAAAGGTGAGCCACAGGGACCGAGAGAGACAGACAGAGACAAGAAACTCAGAGAAACAGGGCTGCAGAGACCCAGAGAGACAAGCTAGAATAGAAAATGGAAGATATAGAGAATGATTTCTGAGACGCCGAGAGAGAGGTCCAGGGAGACCCTTCAGTGCACACGCACATGCGCTCGCGGGCACACTCACACAGCTGCACGTGCGTATACAGATCCCTCATGCGCACACACAGAGACCCGCACAACCTCTCTCTCCCTCCCTCCGCTTCACATCAGGGGGGATGTCAGTCGACTTACAAGAACCGTCGACCCTGTGGCCCGTTCCTGATCCCTCCTTCACTTTCTTTCTGGCCTTGGGGCTCTTCTCTCCAAGGCTCCATTTCCCCTCTACGTGTGCTGTCCACTGTGGCAGCCACCAGCCACACCTAGCTAGCTAGAGGCGCACTTGAGAGGGGCTACCGTGACTGAGGAATGGAAATCTAAATTCCATTTAATTCGAACTGATTTAAATTTAAATAGCCACGTGTGGTTAGTGGCTACTGGGTGGGACAGCATAAATCTCGACCTCCCCCAGCTTGGTTTTTTTTTTTAAGATTTTATTTATTTATTTGACAGAGAGAGACACAGCGAGAGAGGGAACTTAAGCAGGGAGAGTGGGAGAGGGAGAAGCAGGCTTCCCGCGGAGCAGGGAGCCCGGGATCATGACCTGAGCCGAAGGCAGATGCTTAAGGACTGAGCCACCCAGGCACCCCCCCGGCTTGTTTTGATAGCTCAATGAAGCCAGGTGGCTTGAGGGTCTAGCCCAGGTTTTGACATAGGGTTGAAGCCAGCTTTATGATTAGCAGATGAAGAAAGGGACAGAATGAGAACCTGAGACAGAGAGAAAGGGACAAGAGAGATCTCCAGAAGTCCATGGGACATTTTACCAGCTGGTTAGGTGAAGGAAATTGAAATTTACATAAAGGATGTGATTTCATAGGACATATATTGAGCACCACTGTCTACTAGCACCCATATATGTCCATGATTAGACACCTCACCTGCCCACCTGCACCACCAACAATACTTCTGATTTATCCAGTGCTCATTGCATGCACTCAGCAGGTATCTTGCAGACAGTACAGGAGTGAGTCTGCACAACATGAGTGTTGTTCCTGTCCCCATCTGAGCAGAGGCTCCTGAGCCGAACACCTGGGCTTGAATCCCAGTTCCACCACACAGAGGTTCTGTGACCTTCCAAAAGTTTTTAATTTACTTCTCTGCACCTCTTGATCTCCTCATCTGCAAAACGGGGATGATGACCACGCCTACCTTAAGGATTGTTTTGAGGACTAAATGAGTCAAGTTTTGAGGACATCCCAAGTCAAGTACCATGCTTGGGATGGTACCTGGTACATGGCGAGAGACAATGTATTGCTTATTATCCTTGTACAATTGTTGCTGTTACTGATGAAAAAACAGAGGAGGGGTCTTCCTCTACCTCATTCTGACTTTTTTTTTCCTTCTTAATGCTTTTGATCTTGTTGTCAGTCATATGGATCAGGAACTAAAGAAATGGGGAGGGCTTGGCAAGCATGATTTCCATTAGACCCCTTTCAGGGAGGCCTCGCGGCCCCATTTTATAGGAAGGAAGGGTCTGAGTCTCCGCAAAGCGTGGCGTGGGGGGAAGCCACTAGCTGGGTAGTGGCCAGAGTCAAAATGTGGACGCTAATCTAACTGGAGCTGCAGCTCTGTCTCCTTTGTAATGGTGATTTCACCTTGAGAATAAGAACAGCTTCTCTCCGGGGAGCGATGGAGCCTGTGAGTCAGGCATCCTGCTGAGAACTTTTACATAGTATATCACTTAGAGCGGCAGGCACCCTTTGAGTTAGGGTCAGCTGAAGATCGTTAGAGGCCCAGAGCGTTGAAACAGATCATCACACCCTACTCCCCCGCCCCCCGCCCAGTGTCATTCAAAATAGAATCCCCGCTAAACTGCAAAAATAAATAAAAGCCCAAGAATATCCTGAATTTTCACCCTAGTGATAACTCTCGCAATGCATTCCTAGAAAAAGGCAAATACCAAATTATTTAACACTCAGACATTGCCAGGGGTGAGGAAGGAATGCTTTACCGGTGTCCTAAATTCATGCTTAATTGGACTCTGAACATTGAGCATTGCTTCAAGATACAGACTGTTGATTTCCACTGGGCAGAAGAGGACACTGAGGCTCAAAATTGGGCACTATCTTGCCCCCAAATGACACAGCTGGTAAATGGCCCAGCTCTTATTTAAACCCAGGGCTATGTGGAGACTGCAATAAAATCATGAATAGTAACCACGGCAGCACAAATAACAGTACTGAGCACATTTAGCATGCCAGGCCCTGTTATGCAGTTTACATTCCTTCCTTCCTTCCTTCCTTCCTTCCTTCCTTCCTTCCTTCCTTCCTTCCTTCCTTCCTTCCTTCCTCCCTCCCTCCCTTCCTTCCTTCCTTCCTTCCTTCCTTCCTTCCTTCCTTCCATCCTCCCTCCCTCCCTCCCTCCCTCTCTTCCCTTTCTCTTTCTTTTTTTCTCTTTCTTTCCTTTCTTTCCATTCTTTGTTTCATCTCTACACCTAATATGGGACTTGAACTCACACCCCCAAGATCAAGAGTCCCACACTCCATCGACTGAGCCAGCCAGGCGCCCCTACACTTGGTCTTTCATTAACTGAGAGGTCCCTATAACTGAAAGGTCATATTCTCCATCTCACAAGGGGCTCAGAGAAGGCAGATCATCAGTGGGCAGACATTGATAGAGGCTGACAGTGAAACATCTGGAGTTCACTGTGGCCCACAAGTCCTCAGAGAACAGCTTTCGGGAGGTGGGGGAGCCTAGGGGCTTGGAACCTTAGGAGCCCCCACCTCCTGCGGGTTCTGCCCCAATGCCACCTTGTTAATGAAGCCTTCCCTGATCACTTTCTGCAAATTTCAGTCCCCACCCCTGGCAATCCCCTTTCTTGCTTCATTTTTCCCCAAAGCACCTGCTACCATCTATCATTCTATTTTACTTATTCACTGTGTTTATTTTCTGTCTCCCTCCACTAGAAAGGAAACTCCATGGGGACAGGAGTTTTTACTTGTTCACGGCTGGTCCCGGCACCAAGAACAGTGCCCGGCACACAGTAGGCACTCAATAAATATTGTAGAGCGAATGAGTGAGGCGGAGCAGTAGAAGACTGGGAGAGCAAGGGAGAGGAGGCAGAGTTCAAAGCGCTTCTCTCCCAGGGGTCTAGGGCACGCCCCCTCCTGGCCCCCTCTGATGTCTCCTCTCTGCCTCCAGGACCCCCGAAACAAGCACAAGTTCCGTCTGCACAGCTATAGCAGCCCCACCTTTTGCGACCACTGTGGCTCCCTTCTCTACGGGCTGGTGCACCAGGGCATGAAATGCTCCTGTGAGTCTACCCTCGCGGCTCCTGCCAGAACCTGGCGCTCCGGGGCCCCTTTCAAAGTGCAGTGTCTGGGTTCCGGGTAGTGCTGGAGGATGGCGTCTGGAGTGGGGGGGGCGGCCGGACACGCTACCTCCCGTTCTGTGCCCCCTAGGCTGCGAGATGAACGTGCACCGACGCTGTGTGCGCAGCGTGCCCTCCCTGTGCGGGGTGGACCACACGGAGCGCCGTGGGCGCCTGCAGCTGGAAATCCGAGCTCCGACTGCAGATGAGATACACGTCACAGGTGAAGCCGGGCTCCTGTGTCTGGTCCCGCCCTTTTACCCCAGGGGGAAGGGCCCAAGGTATTCACCTGCGCGGCCCACCCACCCCTACAGGGAAGGCCACGCCCCCTGCGGGTCACGCCCACCCTCCTGACCCCACCTGCAACGGCTGAGCACCGCCCAGCCACGCCCCTTCCACCGTGCCTCAGAGTCCCCAGCCTTGACTCTTGCAACTTTCAGCGCCTTTTTTCTTTTTTTTAAAGATTTTATCTACTGGGGCGCCTGTGTGGCTCAGTCGGCTAAGCGTCTGCCTTCGGCTCAGGTCATGATCCCAGGGTCCTGGGATGGAGCCTCGCATTGGGCTCCCTGCTCAGCGAGGAGTCTTCTTCTCCCTTTCCCTCTCACTCTCTCTCAAAAAAATAAATAAAATCTTTAAAAACATATATCTATTTATTTGAGAGAGAGCGAGAAAGAGAACACACAAGCAGGGAGAAGGGCAGAGAGAGAGAAGCAGACTTCCTGCTGAGCAGGGAGGCCGATGCCGGGCCACCCAAGGGCCCCCTTTCAGCACCTCTTTTTTTTTTTAAGATTTTATTTATTTATTTGACAGAGAGAGATACAGCGAGAGAGGGAACACAAGCAGGGGGAGTAGGAGAGGGAGGAGCAGGCTCCCCGTGGAGCAGGGAACCGATGCGGGGCTCAATCCCATGACTCCGGGATCCTGACCTGAGCCAAAGGCAGATGCTTAGCGACTGAGCCACCCAGGCGCCCCCCATTTCGGCACCTCTTAATGGCCATTCTAAATCAAGGTCCTTGAGAGGGAGGGAGGAGAGAAAACCTGATTCGGAGGGAGGCCTGGGATTACTAGTGGTGATGTGGCCAGGGTCCTCCCTCCGGGGTCCTCAGGGAGGAGGGGGCTCTGGGTCTGATTTCTGGGTCCCTGGCTGGGAAAAGGGCTTTAGGCCCTGTCTTCTGCGTACTGACGAGGTAAGAGACCAAAGACACCTGGGTCGTCAGAAAGGCTGGGAGTTTGGATTTTTGATTGTCGACTGGGAGAGACTTAGGGGCCTCTTTCTGGATCTCTAACCCAGTCTACCCTCCTTCACTTCTCCTTTCAGTTGGCGAGGCCCGTAACCTCATCCCAATGGATCCCAATGGTCTGTCGGATCCCTATGTGAAGCTGAAGCTTATCCCAGACCCTCGGAACTTGACAAAACAGAAGACCCGGACGGTGAAAGCCACACTAAACCCTGTGTGGAACGAGACCTTTGTGTTGTGAGCCTCGGGTGCAGGGGACGCTGTGATGGCTGACAGAGAATGATCTGAGGGTCTTGGTGGCCCACAAGACCCCAGAGAGCAGATGGTGGGAGGTGTTAGGATAGAAGGAACCCAAGAAAAGGGCAGAGAAAGGCGGTGGGAGAGGGAATGGAGTGACTGAGGGAGAGGGATGGAGTTACAGAAGCCGAGAGAGAGAGAGAGAGAGAGAGAGAGAGAGAGAGAGAGAGAGATCTGTGCATTTAATCTCCATCAAAGCCCACTACTTTGGAGTGAGACAGAGATGGAGGGTGTTCAGAAGAAGAGACACAAACCCAAAGAGACACATAGACAGAATGCAGGGAGGTGGGGTGTAAGCAGAGGGGTGGTGGGTGGGTGGCAGGAAGAGAAAGAGAAGCCAGTTAACAGAAAGACAGAAGGACAGAGACCCAGAGGGAGGAGGGGGCACGGAGACTCAGATCGGAGAGAGATCTGGAGGGAAAGGACGGGGACGCAGGGATGGGAAGGGGCCAAGGATGTGCGAGGAAGGGAGAGAGACTGAGCGCGGCCTAGATGCACTCAAGGTCCCGATATTGGGGAAGACCCCCTTTGGGAGGCTCAGAGATGACAGGACACTCTAGGGGGTAGGAACAGACCCCAGAGCACCCCAGAAGGGCTTGCGTCCTCCTCCAGCACCAAGGGTGGGGGAGTTCGGGGAGCGGGGAGCTGGACCCTCACTCCGCCCCGCCCTTCCCGCAGCAACCTGAAGCCTGGGGACGTGGAGCGCCGGCTCAGCGTGGAGGTGTGGGACTGGGACCGGACTTCCCGCAACGATTTCATGGGTGCCATGTCCTTCGGTGTCTCGGAGCTGCTCAAGGCGCCGGTGGACGGCTGGTGAGGACGGGGCAGGGGCGTGGTCTCTCGCCTCCGGACCACCAGCATCCTGCCTCCCTGCGCTTCTCTCTCCCTCCTCCCCTGACCCTCCCCCCCCTCCCCGCCCCTCCTTATCTCACTCTCTCTCTCCATCTCTGTGTCTTTCTTTCTGTGTCTCTTTCCCCGCTCTGATCCCTCTGCCTCTCCCTCGGCTGCATCCCCCCCACCCCCGACCCCCACCCCGACCCCGCCTCCTGCCCGGCTCTGGTCTCCGTCTGTATGTCAGGTACAAGTTACTGAACCAGGAGGAGGGCGAATATTACAATGTGCCGGTGGCTGATGCTGACAACTGCAGCCTCCTCCAGAAGTTTGAGGTACTCGGCCCGGCTTCCCCCAGGGGGGAGTCCAGCCCTGCCACCCACAGTTCAGAGCGGCTGGTTGCCCACGCGTCCTGGGACTACAATTCCCAGAAGACCCCGGGGCTCCGTCCCTGCCTTTCTAGGGGACTCCTGCCCCAGGGTGTGATGGGAATTAAGAGTTCCTATCCATTACCATGGCTTGGGGGTTTGGAGTCGCCACCCTATGCTCTAGGGCAACGTCCTACCTCCCTGGGTGCTCTGACTCTGGCTTTCTTCTCCCCCAGGCCTGTAACTACCCCCTGGAACTGTATGAGGTGAGTAGAGCTCAGGCCTGGAATGGAGACAGTTTCATTCCTGTGGTCTGCATGTCTCCCCCCACGTCTCCCTCCCCTGATACCTGCTTTCATTTCCACGCCCATGGGCTGAGCACAGATTTGGCGGCCGGTCTTGTGCTTGCTGAGTAAACCTAGCAGCCCGGAGGGGAACCTGGCCCTGCTTGTACTACCTCAGGGGTAGCCCAGGGGACCGAGAAGCCCAGAGGAGGCGCGCTCAGCCAGCCTGGGGTGGGGCTGGGGTGGGGTAGGGAGTGGCCAGGGAGGGACTTCCCTGAGGAGGTGACACCTGAACGGATCCTTGAGTTTTTCTGTTTATCACGGTGGCCTTCCGTCCTCCATTCCTTTTCTCACTCACTCAACACCTATTTCCTGAGGTGTCACGTAAGTCACACCCTGTTCTGGGAGTAGAATCAGTCCATTCCCTGGGGAGCTCCAATTTCAAAGTAGGAGAAAGGTACAGATAGAGACAGCCACCCAGAAGGGATATGTTTGATAATGGAGGTAGTAGCCTCAGGCACTGGGGAGTGCCGGAAGCAGCTGCACAGCCTGGGAGAGCCAGAGAAAGCTTCTGAGCGGGGTGGTGAGCCCAGGAGGGAGTGCGGGATTCTCCAGGCACAGGAGAGAGAGACCAGATTTCCAAGCTGAAGGATGGAAAACCTTCCAGGCAGAGGGAAGAGCAGGTGCAAAGGCCCTGTGGTGGGAGCAGGCTGGGAGTGTCTGTAGCACAGCAAGGAGGACAGTGGGGCTGAAGCGGGGGAGAGGGTGGGAAAAAGTAGGACATTAAATCAGAGGGAAGGGGTGGGACTTGTCACTCACCGGAAGGATTTTAGCTTTTTAAAGATTTTATATATTTATTTGACAGAGATAGCAAGAGCAGGAACATGAACAGGGGGAGTGGGAGAGAGAGAAGCAGGCTCCCTGGGACCATGACCTGAGCCAAAGGCAGATGCCTAACGACTGAGCCCCCCGGGCGCCCCAGGATTTTAGCTTTTAAACTGGGTGAGATGGGGTGGAGGGGTGGGAGCATCCAAGGTGGCCTGGGGTGGTTTAGGTCTGATCAGGACACAAGCTCTGTGTGGCGAATAGAGCCAGAGGCAGAGGGCGAGGGGGAGAGGAGGCTCCGTGCGGACTCCGGTGGGAGGAGCAGGAAGCAGTGGTCATGTATGTGTTCCGACTCCGGGGTACTCTGAAGGTTGAGCAATAAGAAATGCGCTCAGCACTCAGGTCCCGAGAGACCTTCACGCATTCAGCACCCTCAGTGCTGGACGATGCTGAAGACACAAAAAGGAGGGTGAGACACCGTTTCTGGCTTCGATGAATTTTGATTTCTGGCTCTGCTTTTTAATCTGCTGTGTGACATTGGGCAAGTTATTTAATGTCTCTGTGCCAATTTCCTCTTCTCTAAGACGGGGGTGGGGTTGGGGGTACCTGGTGGGCTCAGTCAGTGGAGCATGAGACTCTTGATCTTGGGGTTGTGAGTTTGAGCCCCAAGTTGGGTGTAGAGATTACCTAAAAATAAAAAATAAAATGGGGGGGGGGGCGATAACAGGTTATCTAATGGCATGTAGTAAAGTCTGAGTGTTAGTTCAATGGCCAACCCTGCAGGCTGTGGAAAACCAGTGCAAGTTCGTAAGCCAACGGGGTGGGGAGGCGGGCAGAGACAACTTTCTTTTTCTCTGCCTCTCCCCATCCCTTTCATTCTTGGATGCTGCCTCTCCCCGGGGCGTCGCCTTATACCCGTCCGGGGTCTGACTACCTCCGCATCTCTCCCCTTTCTCACAGCGGGTGCGGATGGGCCCGTCTTCCTCTCCCATCCCTTCCCCATCCCCCAGTCCCACCGACTCCAAGCGCTGTTTCTTTGGGACGAGCCCTGGACGTCTGCACATCTCTGACTTCAGCTTCCTCATGGTTCTAGGAAAAGGCAGTTTTGGGAAGGTTGGATTCCTGGGGTCCTGGGGGGGAAGGGGAGGATGTCTGGGGCGGGGAGATCAGATTCCTGGTCTTTAGGGAGGGACCCTAGGCAACTGAGTCCCCAAAAAGGGCTCGATGGGACCCCTGAGTGCCCCTGAGAGGACAGGCATAGAGACTTGGATGCTTTCCCTGAGGGAGTGCTCAGCAAAACCAGGGCACCTGGTCCCCTGAGAGAGAGAGAGAGAGAGAGAGAGAGAGGGAGGGAGGACCTGGGATTCCCTTTCTCTGTGTCCCTGAAAGGGCGGGGCAGGGACCCGCATCTCTGCGTTTGTTCCCAAGATGGACTGGGCCTTTTGGGGCTCTGTCCCTAGGTGATGCTGGCTGAGCGCAGGGGCTCTGATGAGCTCTACGCCATCAAGATCCTGAAGAAAGACGTGATTGTTCAGGATGATGACGTGGACTGCACCCTGGTGGAGAAGCGAGTGCTGGCCCTGGGGGGCCGAGGCCCGGGGGGACGGCCCCACTTTCTCACCCAGCTGCACTCCACCTTCCAGACCCCGGTAAGGAAGGGGAGGTGCATAGGCTGGCTCAGGTCAGACATCCGCTCCGGGATTCCAAGATCCTGGCGAGGCAAAAGAACCTCCTGCACGCTGACTGGGCGTGGCCAGAGGGGTGGGAGCCTGTTGGGCGTGGCCTGAGCCAGCGGGGTCTTGAGTGGGGGGTGTTCTGAGCCAAGGAGGTTTGAGGAAAGGGAGTGCGGGAGGGAGAATGGCTTCTGAGTGGCCTGCCAACAGCTGGGCTCCAAGTAACTACGTCGTCACCCTCGGATTCTGAGAGAAGGTCTCGTCAGACTCGGGGGGCGTGTCCCGCACTTCGTGGGCCGGGACAAGGAGTGAGAACCGCCCGAGGTTGGAGAGGGCATGACTCCTTCACAGAGCTCTGGATAAACGTAGTCAGCTTCCTGGATTTAAAGAAACACTATTGTCCATTGCAAGTGAGGCCCGAAACGCCTCTGGTTCCTAACAGGTGGTCAGGGTTGCGTTTGCGTGAGGAGGTGCGGGCAGAGGTGGCGGTGGCCCTGGGATTTCCAGGGAGTGTGGAGGCCTCAGTCTTCCGTTCGCGGAGGGCAGGACCAGTTCGGAGTAGCAGGGGATAGGGCGGGTGGAGGTTCTGTGGGGCTGGCTTAGAGTCCTCGGGACCTACCAGATGCTCTGGGTTGCTGATTGGGTGGATCCGGAGCCTTCCAAGTTTGTCTGGAGGGGGCGGGAATGGACGCGTCCTACCCTCTGGTCAGCGTGTCCCCTCATCTAAGGCCCCCCCCCGCCCGCCCCCCCGCCAGGATCGCCTGTATTTTGTGATGGAGTATGTCACCGGGGGCGACTTGATGTACCACATTCAGCAGTTGGGCAAGTTTAAGGAGCCCCATGCAGCGTGAGTCTCGCCCAAGAGAGGAGGGGTGGGGGGAGGGGGGCCCCAGTCTGTGACCTCTGACTCCCCGCCCCCTTCTCCAGGTTCTACGCAGCGGAAATCGCCATCGGCCTCTTCTTCCTTCACAATCAGGGCATCATCTACCGGTGAGTGGTCTGGGCCTTTCACTGGAGGCCATCAGGCCCCTAGAGGGAAAGCGATCAAACTCGCGGCTGCAGGGGCACCTGGCTGGCCCACTGCGTAGAGCGAGCGACTGGTGATCTTGGGGTCATGAGTTCAAGTCCCATGTTGGGCGTAGAGCTTACTGTAACACAAAACAAACAAACAGAAACCAAAACCTTGCTGCTCCAGCCTGTGGAACTCCCCCCGTCCCTCAACTCCTATCCATCCTGCCTCCCACCCACCAGGGACCTGAAACTAGACAACGTGATGCTGGATGCCGAAGGACACATCAAAATCACTGACTTCGGCATGTGTAAGGAGAACGTCTTCCCTGGGACCACGACCCGCACCTTCTGCGGGACCCCAGACTACATAGCCCCCGAGGTAACCCTCCCTCTGCTGCTCTTGGTGCCCTGCAACTTCGCAGGGCGGGTGTGTGGCTGGTTGTCTAACATTCCGAATGTGGGGGTCCTGACCCTGGGGTCTTTACATGAGTCGGGGGTGGTCCAACAGCAAGCAGCGCAGAGAGGCCTGTGCGCCCCGCCTTCCGAGTGGGCGGAGCTGGGTCTCTAAGCTGGCAAATTGTGCGGACAGGTGGGTGAGTGTTCTAAAAGAGCGGGACCCGCGACCCGCTCGGCTCCTAAGAATTCTCAGAGAGCAGGACCCGTTGCAGGACTATTCTAGAAGGTAGAGACACCTCCGAGTGTACTCTGAGTGGGTGGGGCCGCCCCGCCCGAACACTGGGCATGTGGAGGCTCTCTCCTGAATATTTTAAGGTGGGGGGAGTATACTCTGGCTTTGTTAAGGGGGTGGAGCTAATGATCTGACCGTACGTAAGTAGAGAGAGGGTCTCAGTTGAGGGGGGAGGTGGTGTTAGTGGTGCCTTTCTTAATCTTCCAGGGTGGTTCAATGCTAATGTCCTTGCATCGTGTAATCAATGTCCATGGTTTCAAAACATGGCTGGGAGTCAGAATCACCTGTGGAGATTTTGAGAAACACACATATTGTTGACTCTGACCTATTGAGGCTGGAATTCTTGGGGCTAGGAACAGCCCGCTAGATGAATCTTAAATGCACCCAGATGTAAGACTCTCTGGTCTCTGAAATTTAGCCCTTATTTTACCCTCCCCTTAAGGAGAAGGTCCAATTACCTAAATATTCTAGCTGAGTGGAACTTTTGACTTGGTCCTTAGGTGGTCTTTATTTTTGGGACCAAAGGAATGTTCTAAGTAGGTAAATTCTGTTTCTGAATTGTCCAAAAAGATGGAGCTCTGGCCGAAGTGTTCCGAGTGGGAAGAGTTTGTGTTGAAAGCACTTCAAGTGGGTAGGGTTCCCGGGGGGGTGAGGCCAGAAGGGGTCTTAGGCTGCTTAAAGCACAAAACAGGATTCCTTGACTTCCATCCTTCCTCACCAGATCATTGCCTACCAGCCCTATGGGAAGTCTGTGGATTGGTGGTCCTTTGGGGTTCTGCTGTATGAGATGCTGGCAGGACAGGTAAGGGAAGCTGGGAGAGGCTGGCCTGGCTAAAGGCAACACGGTGTGGGATAGCATCTGTTACATGGCCCCTCTCAAAGGAGCTGGTTAGGAAGGGAAGTCTGCCATCTAAGGAGGGGTGCTAAGCAGTTGGGAATGTCCTGCCTGGATAGTGCTGTCCTTGGTCCTGAAGCATTATTTTCCCACAGGCGAGAGGCTCTTAAAATTTTTTTTGGTGCCAAGGACCCCTTCTCAGAACAATGTGTTTAAATGCCTGAAATAAAATAATAGGATTACAAAGGAAATCAATCGTATGTAAATGGCTATCAAAACTTAAAAAATTTTAGTTTAACTTAGTTCTGCCAACTAAATAAATTTAATTTAAAGGTATACAATTAGGTAAATATTGAACACTGCGATGTGGACATATATGTGATTTCCTATTAATGAATTGAATGGTAATGTCTCACAATGGTGGGGAATAAACAAGAAGGTCTACTAGTAATCTTGAAGTTGAGATGACTAATATTTTGAGATTATCTGCAAATCTAATGTGCTAAGAAAATACCTGTGATTTCTGGTGGTGATGAAGTCCCAAGTACTACTATTGTGGTTTTTGCCTACATTTATAAGGGAATGCTAAATTTCAGTTAGAGATTTTTAAAAATAAAGATGTACTTTTTCCCCTGTTCAAGCTCATGGACCCTCTCAGTTGTATAAACAGACTTCCTAGACCCCACATTAAGAATCTTTACCGGGGCGCCTGGGTGGCTCAGTTGGTTAAGCGACTGCCTTCGGCTCAGGTCATGATCCCGGGGTCCTGGGATCGAGCCCCGCATCGGGCTCCCGGCTCGGCAGGGAGTCTGCTTCTCCCTCTGACCCTCTTCCCTCTCATGCTCTTTATCTCTCATTCTCACTCTCTCAAAATAAATAATCAATAAATCTTAAAAAAAAAAAAAGAATCTTTACCTTGGGAGGCCCCTGAGTGGCTCAGTCAGTTAAGCATCTGACTCTTGATTTTGGCTCAAGTCATGATCTCAGGGTCCCGAGATCAAGCCCTGTGTTGGGCTTCTCGCTGGGTGTGGAGTCTGCTTGGGATTCTTTCTCTCTCTGCTCCTCACTCACCCCCTCCCCCCACTCCTGCATGCTCTCAAAAAAAAAAAAAAAAAAAAAAAGAAAAAGGAAAAAGAAAAGAAAAAAAAGAAGAAGAAGGGAAAGAAAGAAAAGAATCCTTGCCTTGGTATTGCTTTTCCTAATCCCAGAAGACTGGAAGCCACTCATCTAACCAAGAGAATGCTTTTACAGTTTTTCCTGCATTTTTTTGTCTCTCTTCTATTTAAGTGACATATTGTCTAATTAATGCCCCGCTGATTTGCATGGCAGAGAAAGACAGAACAGCAAGGAGGTGCAGAGAGCTGGTGCATCTGAGATAGGAAAGCAGAGAGTCTGAGAGGGAGAGAGAGAGAAAGCTTTGGTGGCTTGGTCCAATTTTTTCCTAGGATGTTGGAGCGGGGTGTTTGTGTACTGGGTGGATGATGAGGGTGTGGAAGGTGGGGGAGAGGCAGTTTGTCAAGTCTCTGACTCTATCCCTCTATTTCCTCAGCCCCCTTTTGACGGGGAGGATGAGGAAGAGCTGTTTCAGGCCATCATGGAACAAACTGTCACTTACCCCAAGTCGCTTTCCCGGGAAGCCGTGGCGATCTGCAAGGGGGTGAGAGCCCCCTGACCCCCAGAGTCTCCGGACAACCCCTGTGCCCTACCACCACCATCCTGGGCTTCCCATGCAGTGGCTCTGTGCACATTAGAAAAAGGCTCCCGCCCCTCAAGTTACTTCCCTTCCATCTGCTGGAAAAGTTTGTATAATACAGAGATGTCATTAGAACACTAATCGACTGCCCTGCTGTCCTCTCCAGTCCAAGGATGGCCTCTGTCTCCTTCCCCTCTGCTGCACCCACTCCCCAGCTCCCTGCAGGGAGTGCTGGAAGGCCGGGGTCTGCCTCTCCAGAACCGGGTGGGTCAGGTGAACCTAACTCCTGCCACTTCTCTTCCTGTGGGATCTTGGGCAAGCCACCAAAACTCCGGGAGCCTGCCCTCCTCTACTGGGGTCATGGAGTTAGTGCAAGAGAAAGAGTCCAGCCCGTGGCAGCTTTTCAACAAGCATTAGCGCCCTTCTGCTCCTGGCTCCTGTCTCCATTCTCTCTGACTGTCACTCTCTGGCTTCTGTCTCCCACCTCGGCCTCCATCTACATTCGATGGGGCTTCCTGTGTCTCCACCTTTTCTCTGTGTCCCTGGGGATCTCTGTCCACCTCTTGCATCTTTGTCCCCCTCTCTCTGGGTGTCTGTTCCCCTCTTGCCCCCAACCCCCGTACACACATATTCTGGGTCTCTGCCCTTCCCCTCGGTGTCCATCCCGCCCTCTCTCGGGGTCTCTGTTCTCTCTTTGCTCTGGGTCTCCAACTGCTTTCTCTCTCCCTGTCCCTCCCTCCCTCCTTCCCTTTTCCTCTCCTCCCCTCCTCCTCCTCCATCCCTTTTGGGGATTCTTCGCTGGTCCCCTTCCTCTTTCTGGGTTTCTTGCCCCTCGCACCCTGATGCCCTGATTTCTCTCTCTTTCTCTGTCTGGCCCCGGTCTCTGGGTTTGGAGTCCGTCTACCCCGTTCTCACTTACTCTCCCCCATTCCTCTTTCCCTCCGCCTCCCCCATCCCTGTTCCTCCTTGCTATTCTCCTCTCTCTGGGTCTCTACGCTGTGTCTCTGTTCCTCCGTTTTTGTCTTTCTCTCTTGCTCGTTCTCTGTGCCTCCCTGTCCGGGACTCTGTCTGTCTGTCTGTCTCTGTGTTTTCCACAGTTCCTAACTAAGCATCCGGCGAAGCGCCTGGGCTCAGGGCCAGACGGGGAGCCCGCCATCCGTGCTCATGGCTTTTTCCGCTGGATGGACTGGGAGCGCTTGGAGCGACTGGAGATCGCCCCTCCGTTCAGACCCCGTCCGGTCAGCCACGTTTCGGGAACAAACCTTGGTCCCTCGGGGTGGGGGTACCCAGGAGCTCCAGTTCCTGTATGTGGAGGTGGGGTGGGGCTCCCTCTGTGGAGACGCCCTAACGGGAGATGCAGAGGCCATGAAGGATGTGCAGACATTCCAAAGGAGACAAGAGATGCACAGAGGGGACACAGAGGGACACCCAAGGAGCCAAGAGAACTTCATCTTTCCTTCCCCCGTGCTTCCCACAGTGTGGACGCAGCGGCGAGAACTTCGACAAATTCTTCACGCGGGCGGCGCCAGCACTGACCCCGCCAGACCGCCTAGTGTTGGCCAGCATCGACCAGGCCGATTTCCAAGGCTTCACCTACGTGAACCCGGATTTCGTGCACCCGGACGCCCGCAGCCCCATCAGCCCACCGCCTGTGCCAGTCATGTAATCTCTTCTGCCGCCACTAGGTGTCCCCATTGCTCCCTCCCCGCGCCAGCCTTGGCCCCCTCTTCACCCCCTCTCCGATTCAGTTCTTGCTCCCCAGCATTCTAGCCTCTGCCCTGTGGGCGCTAGATGCCCCTCCCCAGCGTTCCTGGCATTCTAAACTCCATACAGTCTCTAGAGCCTTACCGCGTTCTAGATTCTGCTGTGCTGAGCCCTGGATTCTCCCCCACCTCTGTCCTGGACTCTGCTCTACCAGGTTCCAGAACCACTACCACTGTCCCAATTCCATGGGGTTCTAGACTCCATTTTGGTAGACTCTGTGCCTCTCCTTTTTTTTTTTTTTTTTTCCTTTCTGGGAAATAGTCTCATGGGGTGGGCTGTTCCAGACTTGGATTCCAGAGCAAACCCCCACCTCCGACCCCCCCATCTCCACTCCATTCTGGAGTAAGTGGGAGGCTGTGCCCCCATGCTCCAGCGCTCCTCTTCTACACTCTAGGGATTCCTGGGATGTATGAAGGATTCTTACCCCAGCTGTTCTCAATCAGCTTTTGTTCTAGACGCCCCCACCCTAAACCCATCACTGCTCGCCTGCCAGGTGCATGGCTCCAGTCCTGCTCGGAACCCTTCCTCCCTCCTGTCCCCGCCCCCCCCCCCGTACCCCGTGCCTGCCACCCTCCGGGATTCTCTCCTCCTCCCCGCGCCCACTCTTCTCTTTGGCTCTCCCACCCGGCCACAGCTGCTGGAGAATAAATTTGGGATGCTGATGCTGAAGTGTTTGGATGTTTTCTTCTAAGCTTGCAGAACGAAGGGGGTGTGGAGGTGGGACAGTGACTGTACACGGAAACACACACAGAGGCTGGGGGCAGGGCGGCAGAGAGAGAGGGAAAGCACAGAGACCCACAAAGTGGGGAGAAGGTACCCCCAGCGCCAGAGGGAAAGAGCAGAGCCCGGGCGTGGGGGGGGGGGGCACGAGTGCCGCGGAGAGGAGCGAAGTGGGCACGTGCACAAGGAGGTAGAGATGGACACGCAGACCGCTGGGAGTGTCAGGTAGAGAACCGCCCCCCCCGCCCCCCGGCGCAGAGACCCAGGCGTGCACCGACTCACCCAGAGCCATACACAAGCTCACAGACCCACACTGAGACCCAGAGACTGGGGCAGGGGTGGGGGCAGTCCTGAGAGGGGAGATGAAAGGCAAACCTCCTACGGAGAGACCTGGAGACGTGATCCCTGGGAGACCCCACGACAGAGAAACCAAACAAGCAGAGCCCGTGAGCTTAAGAGTTAGCCAGCGAGGCAGAAGACAGGCCGACGCGCCCTCCGGGCCTCTTTGCCTTGACCCACTTGCGGGGGAGGGGGGCGGGGGGTGGAAAAAAACAGTCCCAACAGACTACAGTTCCCAGCAGACACCGCGGCGGACCCTTCCCCCCAAGTGCGGCCCCTCACCGCCAGGGCTGATGGAAAATGTAGTCCCGGACCCGGGCAGGCCAGTTGAATGGTGTGCCTATGTCTGTGTGTTTGGAGAGGACTGAGCCCCAAAGCTTCGCAGGCTCCCTCGGGGAGCCCCGGCGTCTCTTCGTCTCTGCAGGCCCTTGGGTTTCCGGGACTCCGTCCAGTTGGATGCTGGGGCTCCCCTTGGCTCGCTCAGCACCGGGGTGGTACCCCCATGCTCTGCCCGCGGCCCCCAGCCCCAGCTCCGACCCTCGGCGGGCGGCCTGCCCCTTTAAGAGTGGCCCCGCTGACATCACGGCGGGTGGGGGGGGGGCTGGCCCGGCTCCCGGCTCCGCGGCGGCTGCAGGACCCGGCTCCGCTCTGCGCCCGCCTGCTGCTTTGGGGACCCCGGCCCGGGACGCCCCCTCCCGCCTCTTCCAGCCGCCCAGACCCCAGGCTCCGCCCCAGGCCTGGCCAGAGCCCCAGTCCTTATCAGGGGAGCCCCAGGATTGCCCCTGCTCTCTCTCCTTCTCAGGGTCTCTCTCTCCCTCTGTCTCTCTCTCTGTCTCTTTCCCTAGCTCAAGGTGTCTGGGTCTCAGCCTCTCTCAGCCCAGGGCCCGTGAGCGTCTCTCCCTGTCTCTCTGTCTCTCTGACCTGTCCACTTCCAGAGCCCCAGAATCTCTGAGCCCGAGGGCAGCGGGGGTCTTAGACCTGATCTCTGCCTCTCCTTTTCTCTCTCTCTGTCTCTTTTAGGCCACCTCTGTGTTTCCCCCAGTCTCCAGACCTGCGAGTCTCAGAATTTCTCAGCCTCGAGGTCTCGGCGGGGCTCTAGATCCTCGGCTCTGCCTCTCTGCCTCTCTGTGTGCCCCTGCCCCTCTCGGGCTCTCTGCCTCTGTTTCTATTCTCCTTCCCTCCCTGCCTCCCCCATTCTCAAGGCCCATCTCCCTCCCTCCCTGCAGCCTCCCCCTCCCTCCCTCCCTCCCTCCCCGCCCCTCCCCTCCTCCGCAGTAGCCAATGAGCGGCCGCCGGTCCCAGCTCCCGGCGCCGTCCGCCGAGTGAGGCCGCGGGCGCGGGGGGTGGGGGGTGGGAGGCCGGGAGGGGGCCGGGACGCCGGGCTCCGGGGCGGGGGCGGGGGGCGCGGGCACCGGCGACCCCGGTGGCGGCGGCGGCGGCCGGGGGAAGCCGCGGGGCCGGTCATGCGGCTGCGGGGCCCGCGGCCCGGAGCGTGCGCCCAGCCCTGAGCGAGGTGAGCGCGAGGGGAGGGTCCTGGAAGGCGTGGGGGCTCCCCTCGAGGTGGCTGGGAGCCGGGGGTTGGGCCTAAAAGGGGCCTGAGTGGCCCCGGGGTGTGGGATTCTGGCGGTCAGGACGCCCGAGTTCTGGAGGCAACGAGGGGTGGGGGGACACTGGGCCTAGGGAATCCGGGAGGACGGGGTCCTAGGGTCCTGGAGTGGGGCAACTATACTCTTAATGTCCGAGTCTTAGAGACCGTGAGCCCTGAGGAGGGTGCAGGCCAGGTCCTTGAGGGAGGCGGTCCTGGAGGAAGGGGGGGGGCCCGGGCCCGGTAGGAGCAGGATGTGTCTGAGGAGGGGTCCCCAGAAACGGGGAATACGTTCCCGAAGAGACTGGAGGGAGACGGAGTTTGGACTTGGGGCTTGGAGAACGGGGCCCCTGGGATCCGAATGCCTGAATCCGGGAGAGACTGCTATAGATAAAGAAGGAAAAGAAGGTGGCTCCAGGCCTGGGAGAGGGTCCCAAAGGAGGAAGGGCCGGAGGAGAATGAGGGGATCTGGGCGGGCCATTTGGAGTGAGGCGGAATCGGAGCAAAGGAGGGGGTTTCAAAGGGGAAGTGAGAAAGGTGTCAATGGGCAAGGTCCCAGCTGGGAGCCCTAGGAGCCTTGGTGGGGGTGTGGGGGGAGCTGAGGTCAGCTACCTGGGGCTCAGGCAATCAGGGTGACCGGGTTTTTGGTGCTTGTTTCCGAGCTGAGCGGGCTGGAACAGGAGCCGGCTGCTGGCGGTCAAGGCTTGGGACGGGGGATGGGAGGAAACGCTGGTCAGAGCTCTGCCAGACTCGGATCCCTGACTCCTCCAAGAGGCTGGGGGTGGGGCCTGGTGGGATGGGGGCTCTGGATGCTGAGATGTGTGTGTGTGTGGGGGGGGGGCGGCTGATGAAAGTTGTCTGACTCCAAGATCGTTACTGGCATGGGGCAGAGTTTCAAGGCTCCAAGAATTCCTATTAGAGAAAGCCGGGTCTCAAGTCTTGGCTGCATTGTTGGGGAGTATTTAGGAGTCTTAACCTTCATAGTTAAAAAAGATGATGGGGATCGCTGGTATTTCGCTGATATTCAGGGATGTAGAGGTTTTTGGCTGAGGAAGGATGGGGATCCCAAGTTGAGTCCCCCAGATCATGGGATTGTGTAGTTTAGGGAAAAGTTAAGGGGGGGGGGGGGGGGGGGCAAGGGTGGTAGATAAGAGATTAGGAACTCCCTAGTTAGAATCTCTAGATCTCTGACTGGAATCTGGAAGGCCACAGCTATGAACTGGTGATCTCTTGTTTTGAGGGCCTGGTGTTAGAGGGGTCAGAGTTCCAGGCTAGATGTTGAAGAGGGTCTGTAATTGGGAGTCCTAGTGTGGAAGTTGGAGTCCAGAATCTCTGGTAGGGAATTTGGGGATCTTGTGATGGCCCATGAGAGGGATAGGGATCCTGGGCTTCCTGATTTGGAATTTTAGTGTTCAGAACGGTGATCCCTAGGTTCAAGGATGGTCTAGGGTACTCAGGTTAGGGTTCTGAGTTGGAGGGGAAGGGGGTCCCAGATCATGGTTTTGACATTCTGGAGTCTCTAGCCAAAATCCAGGCTCCAGGTCTCGGGATCCCAGTGTTCTGGGATCCAGCAGTCTGAGATGGAGTCCCAGCATCCTAGGTTCAGGGGGCTGCCCGGATCTGGGATGGGGGGAATTAGGGTTCTGGAACCTGAGATCTGAGTCATGAGCCGTGAACTCAGACTGGGGTACCAAATTGAGGTCATGGCACAGGATCAAAGTTAGAAGGTCATGGGTCCTGGTCCTGGTGTTAGAATTGGGTATTAAAGGTCAAGATAAGAGTCCAGGGGTTTAAACTTAAGTTTAGACCTCTGCTCAGGTCTTGATTAGTGGGTCCTTGGTTAGTAGGATCCTTAGTTAGGGGATTGGGGGATTTCTGGTAATTATTTAGCAAGGTCCAAAAGAAAGGGGTCAGGGTGCCAGGAGTCAGGATTGGGGGAATATGCCTGGTTCTAGTGTTTTGTTTTGTTTTGTTTTTAAAGATTTTATTTTTATTTTTTGACAGAGAGACAGCGAGAGAAGGAACACAAGCAGGGGGAGTGGGAGAGAGAGAAGCAGGCTTCCTGCTGAGCAGGGAGCCCGATGAGGGGCTTGATCCCAGGACCCTGGGATCATGACCTGAGCCGAAGGCAGACGCTTAACGACTGAGCCACCCAGGTGCCCCTGGTTCTAGTGTTGAAATGTCTGATCCATGTAATAGTTTCTGAGTCCAGGCTCAAGGTTAAGGATTCTGGTGAGGGCTGCTGTCTAGGGTTAAGGTCTCTGGTCAGGGCATAAGGTTAGGGTTGGAGGGCCTGGTTCTGGCATCGAGAATATGGATGTTGAGTTTCTAGTCAGTGTTATGATATTTGGGACCCAAGTCCAGGCACATGGTTGGAGCTAAGGTTCAATCTCTGGATCTGGGCTGAAGGTTATGGTTGGAAATCTTATCCTGGGGTCAGGGATCTCGTGTGGTGGGTCTCTCATCAGGATCCAGAGCCAGAACACAAGTGTCAGGTTTGGGAAGTCCAGTCCTGGGGTTGAGGGTCAACAGTTGATGTCACTGGTTCAAATGCAGAAATGGGGTCATGGGTTAGGGCACAGAGGTCAGATTTGAGAAGTTTCAGTCTAAGAAATGGTGTCTCTGGCTTGGGATCGGTGTCCCGGGTGGCTTCCCAGGTGGCTGCATGGGGTTGGGGACTCTAGTTAGTCCCCTCAGGGCTCTCCAAGGCAGCAGCTTCCCGTGTCTCAGGCCCCGCAGGGCGCCCCCCGCCGCTGAGGATGAGTCACTGCAGCAGCCGCGCCCTGACCCTGCTGAGCAGCGTGTTTGGTGCATGTGGCCTGCTACTCGTGGGCATCGCGGTCAGCACTGATTACTGGCTGTACATGGAGGAGGGAACGGTGCTGCCGCAGAACCAGACCACGGAGGTCAAGATGGCACTGCATGCCGGCCTCTGGCGAGTCTGCTTCTTCGCAGGTACAGACGCCACGTGTCCTCCATTCAACTGTCTCTGCCTTGCCTGGGACCTGAGGGTCCTTATCCACCGTTCCATCCCTTGGGTTCCAGAAATCCAGAAACGGATCCTGTTTCTCTCCTGGAGAGACAAATTTCTTCCTGGAGACCCGATTTCTAGCCCTTCATTTCCTGGATCTAAGAGCCCCCATGCCAAGTCCCTAATCCCTGGAGAGTCCACTCTTAGAAGCAAGAGTCTAGCATCAGAGCTTGTCTCCTGCACAATTCCAGTGTTGAACGGGCAGAAAAAAAAATCCAGCGCTCCCCGCCCCCAGCCGACCACAGAGACCTTCCTCCTTGGAATCCCCCCCCCATCCTCTTCAGGGATTAAGGAGTCCTCGCCCACGCGCCCCCCCCCCACCCCTTTGGGACCCAGGGTTCCAGCCCTGTCCTCCATCCACGGAGGGAAGCTCGGAAGAGGAACTCCCAGACCTCCTGTGCATCCCCTTCTTGACCCCCTAAGAATAATATAGACAGTAACCCCTGGATTCAGCCTCACATACCCATCCCAGGGTCTCCCACTGTGTCACCTGCCCCTCACTGCCTCTCCAGAGCTCAGGAGCCCCTCATCCAGCTTTGCCTTCATATCTTATCCCCAGGCCGGGAGAAGGGTCGCTGTGTGGCCTCGGAGTATTTCCTTGAACCGGAGATCAACTTGGTGACGGAGAACACGGAGAATATTCTGAGTGAGGGGGAAGCAGGGGGCCTAGACAAAGGGCGGCGAGTCCTGGGAGAAAGGGCAGCACCAGGAAAGGGGTGGGGTGGAGGTGGAGTGGGGGCTTGAAAGCAGGCAGTGGTTGGGTGAAGAGGAGGAGCCAGGTTGATGGGGCATGGCCTGGGCAGTGGGTGGAGTCCACTGGAACGGGGTGGGGTCAGACTCAAGGGGTGTGGCCTAGGTGAAGGGGTGGGGCTAGCAATGGACGTATCGGAAGGGGAGGAGCTACATAAAGGGGCGGGGCCGGTGCAGGAGGAGAGGCCAGGGGAATGGGGAGGTGTCACCCCCCCCAGAGTCCCCCTCACCCCTTGTCTCTGCCTTTACCTTTCCCTCAGAGACGGTGCGCACGGCCACCCCGTTCCCCATGGTCAGTCTCTTCCTAGTGTTCACGGCCTTCGTCATCAGCAACATCGGCCACATCCGCCCACAGAGGACCATTCTGGCTTTCGTTTCTGGCATCTTCTTCATTCTCTCGGGTGAGCCCAACGGAAAGACTCAGGGCCTGGGGACTGTTTTCCGTTCCAGGAATCTGCGGTCCCTCCTCCACTAAGAAAGCCGCTTCCTTGCTGTGTGATCCTGGAGGGGTTGCCCAACCTCTCTGAGCCCCATTTTCCTTTTCTGTGAAATGGAGATAGCAAGCACCCATTTCACAGCTTGTCGGGAGGACCCAATCATAGGGAGTGTTTATTAGGTGCTGATTAGGTGCTTGGCTCTGTTCTGATACTTCCCACAACCCTGTGAGGGAAATGCTATTAATAGTCCCATTGTACAGATACAGAAACAGACGCTCAGGGAGCTGAAGTCATTGCTCAGGTCCGCACAACCAGGGAGAAACAGAGCTGGGACTCAGACACTTGCCGTTCACCTCCAGAGGCTGAATTTTTTCACCCATCCTGATATTTTAGCAGTTCACATATTTCAGGGCTTTTTATTTCCTGTGCAACATTTTATTTGAAACATTTTCAAACAGAAAAGTGGAAAGAATTTTGGAGTGAGCATCCATGTACCCACCACTTAGAGTCAACCATTACCCTATTACTAGATGGCTTTGTCCTGTATCTGTCCATCTGTCTATATTCCTGCCCATCCATCAGTCCACCTTATTATTATCTCTTTATGCAGTTCAGTGGGAGCTGTAAGTGTCCATACACTTCACTCTGAATATGTCACCTTGCATGTCATTAGCCACATTGCAGTATTTGTCTTTGTTTTTTATTTTTTTCTTTTGAAATACGAAGCTCTTGTGCATGAGCGATCGCACACCCTTCCCATAACGTCTCTGCCGCAGAGTTATTATTAGCACTCACTTGATAAAATGGGGGCACGGAGGTCCACAGTTGTGCAGGGAGTTGCCCAAGACACCAGCCTGAGTTGGAGCCGGGGGACCAAGTGTTCTGAGCTCCAGAGCAGAGTTCTTTCTCAGGTGTCACCCACCTCCAGTGTCAGCACTGTCTGGTCCAATTCAGTCCCTCTCGGCTCAGGTCAGGCCAGGTCAACCCGGCCCTAACACATTTAACTCATCCGTCTGGTCCAATTCACCCCAGTCCATTCTGACTCCGTTCGAATTAATTCAGCATCATTTCATTAAACTCCGTTCGGGTCCTTTTCATTCAGTTGATATTTTATGAACAAACCCCGCTTATGGCTCATTTGCATTCTGTCCCCTGGGGCCTACACCCGGATCCCTCTTTAGAGTTGGCTCCGCAAAGAGTTGAAGATGGATCTTTGACTATCCCCAGAGAAACCAGGGTGCAACCTCCCTGTTAACTTGAATCGCAGCGTGTGGAGCTGGACACGGAGCTAAAATAAGACCCGTACAATATCACCATCCTGGAGTGTCAGAGAAGAATGGTCTTATCATTTTTATTTTTTTTTAATTTTATTTATTTATTTGACAGGGAGAGAGTGAGAGCACAAGCTGGGAGACAGAGGGAGAGGGAGAAGCAGGCTCCTCGCTGAACAGGGAGCCCGACATGGGACTCGATCCCAGGACCCTGGGATCATGACCTGAGCTGAAGGCAGCCACTTAACCAACTGAGCCACTCAGGCGCCCCGGTCTTATCATTTTTCATATGGAAAAATAGTGGCCTAGAGAGAGAGAAAGGGGGACAAGGGTAGGAAGCATGGAGACTCTAATTCAATCCACCCAAAACACTAGAAGGAAGATCCCATTTTTGCTGTTCACAGAAGGGGCAACATAGCTCAGTGGTAGAGGGCAGTTGGCCCAGAGGGTGTTCTCATCCCAAAACCCACACTCATGCTCCTGCGATGTCCCAGGACCTGACTTCCCATGGTCAGGCTGAGGATCAATGTTGCTGTGAGGGCTGGAGGTCAGGCCTCTGATGTAGAGAAATTTGGGGAGACTGAACCCCACTTCCTGAAGCCCTTCCTCGAGTTCATGTCATAGACTATGGCCTGTGCACCCCACTTCAAGGAGTCTGTCATGCGCTTTCAAGGTTTGTGGGGTGAGGTGCCTGACAGTTCATGCTGCTGTGAACCTAGAAAGACCTGGGTGCAAATTCTTCGCCTGAACTGCATGGGCTCTCCATGGTCCCAAAACCCTATTGTTCTAAGGCCGGGTTGTTTCTATTCAGCCTGGAATGTAGGTGATTTTTGCCTACTGCACAATCCTGAAACAGAGGTGGGGTGAAAGGGGAGAGGGAGTGGGAGTTGGATGACAGAGAAAGGAAGGGGGAAAGGAGTTGTCGAGAGGACAAATCCTGGTCAAGGGTTGGCAAACCTGTGTAGGGCCAAATAGTAAATGTTTCAGGCTTTCTGAGCCATAGGATTGTGATACCAAAGGAAGCAGAGGTGAGGCGATGGGCATGGCTGTGTGCCAGTGATCCTACCTATGGGCCCTGAAATTTGAATTCCATGTAATTTTCATGAGCCATGAAATATTCTTCTTCTTTCATTTTGTCCCCCACCCCAACCCCCTCACCTTTTACAGATGTAAAAACCACGCTTAGCTTTAAAACCATGCAAAACCAGGTGCTGGGACACTTGGTAGGTTGCTGACCCCTGGTGTCCATCATAGATGTGAAGGGCCGACCCAGTGCCTGGTAGACACGTACACATGTACTGTACATCCATAGTAGTGGTGATGGCAGCAACCAAAATAATCAAGAGACATGGTTGGGGGAAGTTCTAAGTGCTTTACGTAAATTAAGGTATTTCTTTTTCTTTACCTACTAGGGCAGATGTCATTGTTATTGTCATTCTCTAGCTGAGGAAACAGAAGCAGCTAGAGGTTAAGTTGCTCCATAGCAGAAGCAGGATTCCCACCAGGCCTTCACCGTGACATTATACTGCCCCACCATAATGAAAAATCACCAAAAAATGGGGCACCTGGTTGGCTCAATCAGTAGAGCATGCAACTCTTGATCTCGGGGTCATGAGTTTGAGCCCCACATTGGGCATAGAGATTGCTTAAAAAAATAGGATAAATAAAAAGTTTTAAAAAAACATAAAGATGGGGGCACTGGGTGGCTCAGTCGGTTGAGCATCCAACTCTTGATCTCAGCTCAGGTCATGATCTCAGGGTCATGAGTTCAAGCCCCACGTTGGGCTCCATGCTGGGCGTGGGGCCTACTTAAAAAAAATCATAAAAATGAAGGAGATTTAAAAGGAGAGGGAAGGATGACAGTACCAGTATCTTAGATCTGGGAATAGGATAATCTAGTCCAACTAGTTCATGTTCCCAAGACTTAGAGAGAGAGACAGGAGTTGCCTAAGGGCTGTTGAGTAGTGGCATTGGCATTCAGTTCTGGAGAAAGCAGTGGGAGGGTTGGGGCAGAGGAGGGACAGGGTCACCTGGCTGTTAAGCATCCTTCAGGGATGGACTAGCAGGAAAGAAACAGGAAATGGGCAAACCAAGGAAGAAGCTTATGCGGTGCTCTGGGCAAGAGCAGCTGGGGCTTGAGCTGGGGCTGGGGTTGGAAAGATAAAGGCAAGTGCATGGCTTTGACAGAGAAGGATATCGACAGAAGAATCAATGGAACCAGATGACTGGCTGGATATGGTTGGTGAGAGAAGCAGGGAGGAAGCTGGAATGACATTGACTCTCTTTTTCCAGGTCATAAGAAGCATGCTTCCCATGTAAAGCCCATACTAACCCCTGACCCTCAACATGTTCTATGCATCTGCTCATTCATTTGCTCATCAAGCATTTGCAGACACCCTATATTGCCAAGCCCTGCACTGAGCACTGAAGATGTGGCTGAATCCTAGGTGAGAGCTCACATTCAGTCAAATATGAAACAGCCCCAATTACCCATCAGTCAAAAGTACACACCTGCTTCGATCTCTTCCATGCTCAATGGATTCCCATTGCACGTAGAGTACATCCAAACTCTCCGTGCTAGCTTATAAGGTTTTCCAGGATTTAGCTAATGCTCAGATCTCTGACCTCATTTCCTAACCCACTAACACTCTCTCCATTGCTTACAACCTCAGCCACACTGGCCTATTCTATTCCTTGAAAATGCTCATCTCAGCCCCACATGAGGACTTTACATTCATCAACCCTCCATGCTTGGAAGTTTCTTCCTCCTGATACTCAAAGAGCTCGAACTTTCTCTCTTCAGACTTTCTTTCTCTGACAATAGTATGTAATGTTGCCGTGCCCCGACTATACCATCACTTTGCATGCTTTATATTTGATTCATAGCTATTTTCATCTTACGCGTTTTCCATCTCCTACTAGAATGTAAACTCCTAAATACACGGACCTTTACAAGCATGCTCTCATTTGTGTCCACAGAGCCTAGATGAGTTGCTGGTACAAAGTACACATTGAAGTATTTGTATAAGAGAGGAATGATAAGGACAACTTAGGGCATTCTGGGAAAGGGGAGGATGCATTAACTTGGCACAGTAGGGTGGTGGGGAGGGGGGGGAATGACCTGGGAGGGCTTCCAGGAGGAGGTGACATCTGAGTAGATGAAGCTGAAAGGGTGAGGGAGAATTTTTCAAGTGAAGAAAGAATAGTGCCTTGTATGGAGGTTGAAGTCACAGCACCTGTTAATGCCCTAGAAAGCATAAAGACAGGTAGACTCATGTGCAGCTCTCCATGGTCCTGAAGCCCTATTGTTCTAAGGCTGGGTTGTTTCTATTCAGCCTAGGATGTAGGTGATTCTTGCCTACTGCACAATCCTGAAACACAGGTGGGGTGAGAGGGAAGAGGGAGTGGGAGTTGGATTACAGAGAAAGGAAGGGGGAAAGGCGGGAGAAAAAGAGGAAAGGAGAAAACTGGCGAAAGAAGATTATTTTTGGAGGACCAGAGTCATTATAAAATGTCCAGGAAGTAGAAAGAATGGCAAGAATAACTTACCTTTTGCAATTGTTTTCACGTGATTTTCAATTACTAAACACACACACACACACACACACACACACACAAAAGCAAAAAAGAACTGCAAACGATTCTTTCTCTTTGGAAATATTTATTTCCTTATCAACACTTGCTCCTGACTCA